TTTTTTTTTTTTTTTGGAAAGCTTTTGAATGCATTTTGTTTGGTATTGTATTTATTCAATAAAGTATTTAATTAGTGCTAAGTGTGAACTGGACCCTGTTGCTAAGCCCCAGCAAGCAATCATATCCTAGGTAGGGTTAAATCCCAGTAAAATTGCCATATTGCACATGTCTTAATGAAGTTTGAATGTTAAATAAATTGTATATTCACTTTAAAGGTGCTTTTGGTCATTTTATTTTTATCACATCATACTTAAAATTGTATCTTACAAAAATGATCCTTTCAGCAATTCTGAGTTAACTGCTGCATCACTGTCGCACAGAGGCTGATGAGTTGTAGATGTTCATCAGCACCATCTGCTAAGCATTTATCTACTTCCTATAAAAAAATAAAAGTTAGGAAAATCTGCCATTGAGTTGTATTTAACACATTTTGCTGAAATGTGAAGTGCCTACTTACAGCAAGTTTTTCTGTGATAATGGACTTCTGTTTATCAGAAAGGTTATCATTTTCTACAACCACATCATGAAATTGATTTACAAGCTGAGTTGCTGCATGGCCCTCATCAATTAAGTCCTGCAACAGAAACAGTTGAATTTGGTAGGATCATTACAATTTTTTCCTTCCCCAAAGTTACCTGTAAAGTGACTTACTTTTACCACAGCTTCTAGTTTATCAAAAGAGCCACTCTGACACGCAGCAAATATTCCATCAATTGTCTCAGCTGGCATTACCTAAAGTTTGAGAAGGCAAAGGAAGAGAACTTGGGAAGAGCCTCATGCTATCATGGAGCTCCAGAAAGCTACTGAAATAAAGCTTTTCCAGGTAACCATAACCTAACCCTGACTAGGTAATAGTGATGCATTTTGCTTTTAAAAAAATTTTTAATGCCCCTGAAGTATACAGAATTTTCTGTTTCTGATAGTTTCAGGCTTGGGCCCACGATGGGACAAGAACCGCTGAACTGGTCAGTGGGTGAACAGCTAAAAATTCTCCCCAATGGCTCGGACCCAAGTGGTTCTAACTGTCAGCAGTGGCTAACATCTATCAACTAGCTTAAAAAGGGAATTTAAAGGGAGATGCCCCCTTTCCTAGTAAAGATGCCACCAATGAGATTGCTTTTACAAAGCTTATAATACCCAGAAAATTAAAGGGGACTAATGCTATCAATTTCATAACGGTATGAAAAATACCTTAGGAGCTAAGTCTTAAAAGTAGTACTTAACATACTAGTAGAGATGAACCCTGACAAATGATTTCTCCAAGTGGGATATTGCCCTTTTATATATGACCCTTTGTCAGATTTGTAAGAACAGGGATATCTCTTAAATCTCTCTTAACTGCCATATCACTGAAGTGATGCTTCCAGGTTATTTCCATATAACACTGTTTCTAGTGTAGTTACGTAGCACATGCTATAGACTAAATGTGTTCCTCAGGTTTCATGTTAAAAATCCCTACTGTGAAATTAAGAGAGTGAGAACTTTGGGAAGTTGATTAGGTATGAGAGCAGAATCCCCATGAAAGGGATTAGTGCCCTTATAAAAGGTCTTTCTGCCAGAAAGGATACAGCTGAGTCCATGAACCCTTAAGAGTCTGTGTACTAAGAAGTTGGTCCTCACCAGATACTCAATACAGGTATCTTGATCTTGGACTGCCCAGCCTCCTGAACTGTGAAATTTGTTTATAAGCCACTCAGCTTACGGTATTTTGTTAAAGCTGCCTAAATGGATTAAACCAGCACATAATAAACATTCTGAATACATTTGTCAGATGAAAATTTTCTAAGAGCCCCAAGCCCGACCAAAATTTTTAAAATTATCTCATGTTCTTACCCCAGCAATGTCTGTGATCACCTTCTCTGTGATCTCCTTTCCACCTGTTAATCGGGTAGCACTTTGAAGAAATGTAATGGCTTTTCTTAAATCTCCTTCTGATACTTTAACAAGATAAGCTATTCCCTGAAAAAAGAAAAAAAATTTTTTAAGCTGTGATAGCCAATTAAGACTTTGACTTTAATAAAAGTGAAAAAATGCTGTTTTAGTCTAGAGTTAGTTTGGAGAAAAACATTTTTGGTTTTAAGGGAATGTTATCAGTCCTATAATGACAAAATTCATGGAGATAGCATCAGTCCAGTGGAAGGCTAGAGATCTCGTCTTTGAAAGAAATCTGCAGAGACAAAGAAATGTTCCATATTTCTAATCCTATTTTCTTGAATACATAAAGACAATTCAAGTACGGTTAAATTCTGTTAAAATGAATAAGGCCTACATATCCTCTTTCGTCACCAAAATTTCATCACAAAATTCACTCCTCAAGTGAAATATTAGCTAGGACACTAAAATCTTATTATGCAGAGATTTGTTATCGGCGAATTTGCACTATGTGTATGAAATCTGCCCCAGTTCTGGCTCTCTGAAATATTGGTAATAAACTTATAATAGTAACAAGAAGGCTGAACCTGTAATTCCTAGACATTCCAAGTGTTGCTCTTTTAGCTTAACTTTGCCTGAAGGCATCAGAAGTTAAAGCACCACATCTGATGCTTTTGGGACCTCTTTATTTAGGAATTTGTCAAAGGAATTCGTAGTAACAGTATTTGTAATAATTAGTAATTACCTCATTGCTAATTCTCACATGTTCTTTATCAGCAATGTCTAGTAATCGCTGCTGTTGAATTTTATCTGACAGTGGTTTGAATCGGAATTTAGAACATCTAGACGTCAGAGGTTCAATTATTCTGTAAAATATCGGGGGGAAAAAAAAAAGTCAGTATCTAAAGATTTTCCCCCAAAGAACTCATTTTTATCAAGAACAAATCAAGACTTGATGGAGGAGAAATTACTGTAGCCTTGAAACATTTACATTTTTTCTCTCCCTAACTGGAGTTATCAAAACAAGGCTGCCTACCATCTATCTTCAGGACAATATACATACCGACTGACATAGTTACAGATGAGACAGAATCGCGTGGTTTTAGACTCCTTCTCCATGGTACGTCGTAAAGCTGCCTGAGCTGCTGAGGTCATAGAATCTGCCTCATCCAGAATCACAATCTTAAAAGGAGGACATGGCTTCCCACTGATTCAGAGAAACAGGGAGTTATAATTCATATATTGTCACCCAAATCTAATTTTAGAACACTCTCATCATCCCAAAAAGAAACCCCATGCCCATCACGCCTTCCAGTTCTCCCAACTGTAGGCAATCATGGATCTCTACTTTGTCTCTACAGATCTATTCTGCACATTTCATATAAATGGATTAATACATTGTCTTTTGTGATTGGTTTCTTTCACTTAGCATGCTTTCAAGGTTCATCCATGTTGTAGTATGTCATTACTTCATTCCTTTTCATCGCTAAATAATATGGCAAAGGGATATACCACATTTTATTCGTTCATTCATAGGTTGATGGATAGTTGGGCTGTTCCCACGTTTTGACTACTATGACTAATACTGCTAACGAACATTTTTACATGTTTTGAATAGACCTATTTTTTCGTTTCTTATGGGTATACACCTAGGATTGGAATTAGTGGGTTATCTGGTAACTCTATGTTTAATTTTTAGAGGACCTGCCAAACTATTTTCAAAATGTCTAACCATTTTACATTCCAACCAGTGAAGTATAAGGATTCCAATTTCTCCACATTCTTGCCAATATGTTGTCTTTTTGCTAAGAGCTATCCTAGTATGCAAAAAGTGGTATCTTATCATGGTTTCGATTTGCATTTCTCTATGGCTAATGATGTTGATGAGCATGTTTTCATGTCTTTAGGGGCCTTTTGTATAGTAGTCCCCCCTTATCCACAGGGAATGTGTTCTAAGACCCCAGCAGATGCCTGAAGCCCTGGATAGTATCAAACAGTATATAAATATATATATGCCGTGTTTCTCCTATACACACATACCTATGAAAAAGTTCGATTTATAAATCAGGCACAGTAAGAGATTAACAACAATAACATCATTAACAATATAACAATGAAAGAAAACAATTTTAACAATATAGTGTAACAGAAGTTATGCAACTGTGGTCTCTCAGAATATCTTATTGGACTGTACTCCCCCTTCTTGTGATGTGAGATGGTAAAATGCCTATGTGATGAGACAGTGAAGTATGACATAGGCACTGTGATGTATGTTAGGTTACTTACTAATGACCTTCTGATGATTATGTCAGAAGGTGAATCATTTGCTCTGGACTTCAGCTGAATGTAGGCAAGTGAAACCATGGAAACTGAAACCACAGTTACTAAGGGGGACTACCGTATCTTCTTTGGTGTAAGGTGTATCAGCTCGCCTTTTAAATTGGGTTTTCTCTTGATTACTAAAATGTACGAGTTCTTTATACATTCTTAATCCAAGTCCCTTAACAAATATAGGATTTATATGCATTGTCAATCCAAGGTAGGTATCAAAAATCAGTCATTCACTTTCTACAAATTCTTAAGTGTGCTCTGATAGGAATTTAAATATATACCAGGTTCCAAAAAATTTACTCTTAGAACTGTGCCACATAAGGATTATAAGTAGCTGACTAAACATCCTTGTTTAACTCAGAGCAGTCCTATTTAAATTATTAACAATACTTCCTCTTTTACTCTAAAAGTGTCTCAGTTTGGACAATAACTTATATGGTCACCCTAATTAGGAAATATACACTGAAGCTTAAGATACCTGACAGAACTTTTTTTTATAACACAATAACAAAAATCAGGATTTTTTACTAGCAGTGTACCACCAAACTACCAAATTTGATTAATAAATACTCCTTAGACAAAACCTAAGTTCAAAACCCTTGACAGCTAAACAATTTAAAATTAGGTATTATAATGGAAAGGTCATTTCTGGGTTTAAATAATTTAGATAAAAGGACACTTGGCTGGCTCAGTCAGTAGAGCAAGCAACTCTTAATCTTGGGGTTGTAAGTTTGAGCCCCATGTTGCTTGTAGAGATTACTTAAAAAAAATAAAATAAAAAAAAATACGATCTAACATGAAAAAGGAGTTGGACATTTGGCAGAAACGTATTTTAAACAAATGCAATGACATGGTATAAAGAAGGAAAAGTGAGCTTTACTTACTCTGAACGACTTCCTGACACAGTTAATTGAGCAAAATTCTTCACTTTTTCTCTAACTACTTGTATTCCACGTTCATCGGATGCATTTAACTCAAGAACTCTTAATCGAAAAAGTTCAGGCCTATGTCAAAATGAAACAAATTATGAAAAATAACAGAGCATATAAGTAACTGAGGTTTAAGCCACATTTTAACAATTGCACATTCTGTAGTAGTTTAAAATCCACCTAGTAAGTACTAGATAGAAGGCATGCAATCACGTATGTATTATTTAATAGAGACAGACAGGCAAAAAAAAAAACAGATAGAAGCAAACAAATAATAAAATTTTAAATCAATTTTCCACTTAAGATTATATCATAAACATCTTGCCATGTCATCAGAACCACTGTAAATACCACTTTAATAACTATATGACATTCTATCCTATGATTGTACCATCATTTACTTGTTCTTCTATTGTTAGATACTTAGTTTTAAATATAGTACAATTTTAAATAATGCTCCAACAGAGCATATTTTCAATTATTTCCATAGGGTAGCTTGCCATAAGGACTATTACTGGATTAAAACATGAACAGGTTTTTTCTTTTGAGTTTAAAAAAAAATTATTAAAAATAGTTCACCATAGGGTCATCTGAGAAATCAAAAGAAAATTAAAATAACTGGCACACCCTGCCAAGTCTTTGTTTTTGAAAACTTTCCTTTATCATACATGTATTTATTTTTTAATTAAAAAAACAAGAATTGGGCTTAGTTTTGTCTTTAGTTTTCCTAAACAGCATGATAACCTAAGCATTTTTCTATGGGCACATTCATAAAGTTCTGTGCATATATTTTCCATTTTAAAACTACACATACTATGAAATGTGGAATTCATAATTAAAGTTAGTTCTAAAGGACAAACATTATTTTTAACAGGATATTTTAAAATTATATAATCTGGACGGACCTACTCTCAAAAAACTATTAATAAACTACTTGGGTTTCATTATGACTACATTGGTAAGGCTGGTTCATCAGGTTGGATCTGAGTTGTGGAATAATCAAAAAAAGCCCTTTTATAATTTCCTTGAGAAACAAAAACTGCTGTCAAATAAAATATTAGGTTCACAGCACCTTCCCCTTTTTTCTTCACATTTCAACATAACTTATTATCTATACATATTTGGTGGTTTCAGAGGCATCTGATTATTTTCACATGTAGGATTGCAGATGTATCCTTTGACCATATGCCTGATATAAAAGTTCTGGATAAATTCAAGATAGCCTTTGGTACACTTGATCTTAGCCAAAAGGCTGAGAAGTGATTAAGACAGACTTTGCTATTGGTGCATGTTTTAGGGATATCATACCTGGGCCGATATATCTTTCAACTCTAGGTAAAAAGCTCATCTACAATGGTTGGTAAGCCAAGACAGTCAATCCTGGAAGAAGAACCTAAGAAAGTGGCTAACAGAGGTCTTCTGGTATACCTGATGCAGAATTCCAAATTCTGTATCAACTACTACATATTCTGCTCACACTCAAGATACTTCAGGTCAAAGAGCTGGCCTAGCCACTCCAGAGGCAGGGCCTGGAAAGGCCAGAGCAAGAAAGAACTCTAGAAGGAGTGGTGTGGGGTCATTAGCACGAGACACAGCACGAGACACAGATGTGTGAACACAACCACCGGTAAGATAGTGATGTAATATTGGCATGAATAAAGATAGGATGGGTCCTTTGGGCTCCAAAATCAAAATGAAAAAGTTAGTGATGACAAAAATCATGAGGCTTCCTATGTTGTAGTACATCAAACATTTGAATAAGATTCAGAATGAAGATTACAAAAGATGTAGGCAAGCTTATTTATTGGAGGGGAGGAACTGGAAATGGGCCCACTGAATTAATAAAAAATACAGAAATAATAACCTTACAAAGAAACCAAATACAAATTTTTAGTTAAAGAAGAGATTTCTGGTGTCAAGTCTTTAAAAAAAGAGAGATTTCAACTTACCCAAAAAGCTCCCTAGCTGCTGCCAAAATGGTGGATGTTTTTCCAGTTCCAGGTGGCCCATAAAACAAGAGATTAGGGAGCTGTAGAAGTTAAATTTTATTTTTTAAAAATTGTATTCTGGTACAAATAGATGAAAATGATGACTAAAAATGTCTATGGAACAGTGCAACAACTTCCCTAATAAGGCACATATCTGAATACAAATATTTCTTAATATAACCAGTATCACACTATTAGTAGTTGTGAATCCTGCTTTTTCACATAATACTTTCCCCCAAAATGTCTAATATCTTAAGCTGAATCAATATTTATGACTGTTTTATACCCAATATACCTACGTGAGTTTTCAAAGCAGGAATTAGATACCTTTCTTTTTAAAAAAGATTTTAAGTAATCTCTATATCCAACATGGGACTTGAACTCATAACCCTGAGATCAAGAGTGCAAAGCTCCACCGATTAAGCCAGCCAGGCGCCTCGAAACCTCTTTTTTCTGAAGGGAATCTCAGGCTTCTGTCAGTTCCCTCTCCCACCCCTCTGCTCAGGATTGGGCAAGATTTTATATAAGAAAGATTTTATATTTTATAAAGATGTCCATTGCTTCAAGGGGGAAACAGACCAAAGGAGACCTTCAATTTGGCTAATACAGAGGAAAAAGGAATGAAAAAGACTTATCAGGGCTCTGGATGAGCTGATGTTCCAAGAGTAGGGGTGGGGAAAAAAAGTTTACTAAGTGCCTGGCAGTACTCTACTCCATGATTATATACCCTGTAGGGATGCCCACATATACCAGGGAGAATTAATTAGAGGAAGAAAGGGTAAGACTAAATCACTAATTATCTTCTTTTATACCTTCAATCTCACCGGCTTGGCTCCTATCAAGCAGGCAACTAATCTGTGGTACAGACTGATAAATGTACTAAATTCTAATGAGCTCTGTCATAAAACTGCACTCTTCAGTATGTCCCTTCACGTACAGAAATCACTGCACATGGGAAACTAGACAGCAGTTTATTTGCTTCCATTCTTGCCTAACCCTCCACCTTCCCATCCATTCTTCACCCAAATCAGATGCCCCTCTGCTTGCTACTTAAAACTGTTCACTGGCTTCATACTCCACCTAGAAAAACAAAACCAGATGAACAAAAACCAACCTGTATTTATGAAAGTCCATGATCTGCTCACCTTTCCAGGCTCCAATTTACAATGAATTCCAACTAAGCACTTATGGTCTATCCCGTCCCCCAGCTAGGGTCTGACTGCTTTTTTCCTGCTTTGCCAACTTCTACTACATTACAAGTCAGAAGCCTTCCCTGACCACCCAATCTAAAGTGGAACTCCTCTGTTACTCTCTCATCAATCTTTGTTGCACTTAATTCAACTTGCAATTATTTATATACAATAGTTTACAATTATTGTTCTTTATTTAGTGTTTTGGTTTAACTGTAAAATATGTCTACCTCACTAGATGGTAAGCTTAAGGTCAAGAACCTTATTTATTCATATCTGTATGCTCAGCATCTTGTATAGTACTCAACATGTGTACAATAAGCCAATGTACAGAATAATATATTAACTGAAGACTATTACATTGGTAGCATACAGCTTAAGATATAAGCTATGAGTTGTGCTACTTAAAAACAAACACCAAAGAACCTCCTAAGCTTTTTGACTGGTTTTGGTATCAAGGTAATGTTGGCCTCATGGAATGAATTTGGAAGTTTTCCTTCCTCTTCTATTTTTTGGAATAGCTTGAGAAGAATAGGTATTAACTCTTCTTTAAATGTTTAGTTGAATTCACTTGTGAAGCCATCTGGTCCTGGGCTTTTGTCTGCTGGGAATTTTTTGATTACCAATTCAATTTCATTACTAGTAATCGGTCTATTCAAATTTTCTGTTTCTTCCTGATTCAGTTTTGAAAGATTGTAAATTTCTAGGAATATTTATCCATTTCTTCTAGGTTGTCCAATTTGTTGGTATATGCTTTTCCATAATATTCTCTTATAATTCTTTGTATTTCTGTGGTGTCATTAGCTATTTCTCTTCCTTCATTTCTGATTTTGAGTCCTCTCTTTTTCTTGAGGAGTCTGGCTAAAGGTCTGTCAATTTTATTTATCTTTTCAAAGAACCAGCTCTTTTTTTTTTTTTTAATATTTTATTTCTTTGAGTGAGCGAGAGAGAGCATGAGCGGGGAGGTGGGGAGGAGGAGAAGCAAGCTCCCCGCTGAACCAGGAGCCCGATGCAGAGCCCGATGTGAAGCTCGATCCCAGGACCCAGGTATCATGACCTGAGCTGAAGGCAGATGCTTAATCGACTGAGCTTAACCAACTGAGCCACCCGGGCGCCCCTCAAAGAAGCAGCTCTTGGTTTCACTGATCTTTTCTATTGTTTCTTCTTAGTCTCTATTTCACTTATTTCCACTCTAATCTTTATTATTTCCTTCCTTCTGGTAGCTTTGGGCTAGTCAATTTGGGTATGTGAATTATATTTTAAAAAATTCCTAGGTTTTTTCATCTTTATTATTTTGATTCATGCATACCTCAGTATTTGTAATAATTCATCCACGTAACTATCACATACAATAACTTAAGTTCCTTAAAACATGATAAAATTATTAAACCTTACATTATATAACAGTGATATATATGGTATACTCAAGAACTGTATGCAGAATATTAGTTCTTAAAATTGATTTCTGAAAATCATCTACTGTAATTCTACTTTAAAACCTATAATTCCACTTTAAAATCTTTTAATGTAAATGAGAGAGTGCTTGCTTTGGCAGCACATATAGTAGAGTAAATGAAAGAATGAATTATTTTTCTTTACTCTGTAGAATTTTAAAAATTACTTCATCTTTAAGTTTTACAAAACAGTCTGAAAAAAAACGTAAGATATTGAATAAGTGTTTTAAAAGAGAAAGTTCTTAATTCAGCCTTGTAAGATAGGTGGTATAAAGTCAAGAACTGGGTCATAATCCCACTATATTTGCCTCAAGGGTTGAGAATACGGCTAATTAAAATATATCTTGTCCTGCAATCTGTGTAATTATTACTATACAATTAAAACTGTATATTATAAAATTAAAAGGTAAAGGTACTTGGATCAAATCAAAACAAAAATTGGCAAAGAAAAAGATTTTAAAGTTTGATAAATATAACTTCTTTCAAAATATATACTCTTATAGTGTAATTCCAGGAAGTGAATAACGGCAGCAAAAGCCAAAAGAAACTCTAATTCTAAAAGTAGCCAGGTTGAAAGGAAGGAAGCAAATCTTCCTGGGGAATAAAGCAAAAACCACACCCCACTTTCTTCTGCAACTTTTCCCCTTCTTTCACTGAGCTCTTAAAGCACTTCATCATACACAATTTTAAACTGCTAATTCTTCTTATGGGGTTATCTTGTCTCTGAATCATCTAAAATGCAAGTCAATGAAGAATTTTTTTTATCCCACATATGGACAGAAGACACAATGCTATAAGCAGAATTACTCATTTTTTGTATTGTAGTTCAAACCAAATCCTAACATTAGGTGAGCAATTATACTTTCAAAGAATCTCTGACTCTTCTTTATAGTGCATATTATTATCTATTATTCTCTTATTTATTTGGCTTCCACGTTTATTCTCTGTTGTCTCCCCACCAAAATCAAAGCTCACAAGAAAAGGGACCCAGTGTGTCTAGTTCAGTGGTCTCTACTTAAGTACTACATAACAATGCTATAAGATAGGAGATGCTCAATAAATATTTGAACTAATACACAGCTAGTATTTAAGGGGGGCAGGAGGTTATAAAAGGAAGGAAAAGAATGAAAACAATTAAATCTTAATTTTAAAAAAATTTAAATCTTAAATCTCCCAATGACATGAAATATCATCTGCTACTCACATCAGCTCCTTCTAAAGACTTTTTCAGCACTGCAACTACTTCTTCCTGGAAAGCAACTTCATCCACACATTTTGGACGACTGGAAAAAAACGCAAAGAGATTATTTAGTATATTATAGTAGCCATAGAAATGTCTTAAGTGTTCCTTTTGCTAAAATATCAATGATAATACTCATATATTGGTAATAAAATGGGAAATTTTCATAATTGGAAGTAGGTGGAAACCCCACTTGTATTTACTTTAAGCTAATACATACTGAAGGAGTGAAGTCATTTTTCCCTTTATAGATGCAGTTTACATCTATAATGCTTACAAAAATTAAGCAAAAACATCTTATTACACCACAAATGTCAACTGGTTAAAAATTTAAAGTGAACACTTGCCCAGAAAGTAATATATTTCGACAAGATCATGCACTTACGCTGAAAATGAAGAACTATTTAATAACCTCAGGATAGGCAACTATTTTGGTTAATATAGTTAATTGACTAATACCAATTTCATCCATCACCTAACTGCACAAAAAACGCCTAACCAGTCACTTGACTGAGAGCTAACTAAATAACAAGTTTAACCAAGATGAAGTATAATAACATATAATTTTCATCTTACATCATTAACTCGTGATTTTAAGAGAAGCTGGAACAAAGTTATACTCCTAACCCTAAGATTAGGCATTGTGCTTAATTAGCTAGTCCTTCTTTGATTTATACATTTTTTTTTTAAAGATTTTATTTATTTGAGAGAGAGAGAGAGAATGAGAGACAGAGAGCACGAGAGGGAAGAGGGTCAGAGGGAGAAGCAGACT